GTTGAAAAGGTCTGTTTTCAACTGTTCAGGGCAAAATATGAGCATTTTGCAGTTGATTCTGGATTTTTATTTTTATTTGCAAATCAGAAAAAAATGAAGCGGTGAATCCGTTAACCAAGAAATTAAATTGGTGTGGCCTTATATATATATATATATATATATTTGGCGCTTTCAAATCCTTCATTTTCTGCAAAAGGTTGGAATCTGTATTTCTTTGTCATTTGTCTCATGAATAGTGTGATACGAAATTCTTATTCTTGTGTTTTTATTCACCATATTGCCATAATTGACACAATTGCCGGTAGGTGATAGCCTTATAGCCATATGTACATGTAGACAATAGAAACCCAATACTGGTGGGTTATAGTCATGTATACAATGTGTATTGTGTACAGAAATTTGGGCGCATGTACCGTCATAGAGCTTCATCCTCTACCAGTAAAGAGCATGTGTGTAGCCTCCTGTGCAGGCTCCGGGGCAGGTGGGAATTTTAATACTGTAACAGCGTTTTGAAGAGCGTGGGCGGTGATTGTAGGATGGCCTGCTATTAAAATAACATGTTAAGAACTCTTCAACATGCTGTATCAAAATTCCCACCCGCCTCGGAGCCTGCACAGGAGGCTAGGTTGGTGGACTGATTGACACATTGCTGAACAATTTCTTGTGAAACTTAATACTATAACGGCATGGTATACCATGTATACTTGCTATATACTTCCTTGAAACAGAACCTACTGCCCATCAGGTACTTCAAGCTGCTATATTCTTAAAGTACTTTTGTAGGTTTCTGAATGCTCATTGTATCCTTATTTCAACATCAGAACAAGTATGCATTGTCTTCAAAGTTGTATCAATTAAAGGCAACCTGTCAGGCTGCAATTAAAGGAGGATCTAGAAGGCTGTACAAGCCTTTGACTTAAATTCTATTTGTTACGGTACCGGTGATGGCAGAGTTCGTTTTATTAGATGCTAATGAGTGATGTTGACTTTTGGTATATAAATGCAAAAGTACTGGGAAAATTAAAGACATCAGCATTCCCCTGGGAATGCAACAGGGTTTCTATGTGTGTGCTAAGTTTTGTGCTATACCAGTATACATAAGTCAGTACTAGCTACATCAGGTTGCCCAGACACTGAGTAAAGAGATTCTTTTTACACAACCAAGTCCTTTATTCAGCCGACGATTCGGTGACCGTCTGTCACCTTCCTCAGGGCAGTTCTGACTGGTTTCCCTGTAATCATCCATATGTGTATATATGTAAATATGGTACATTTGGGAATGCATCTGTAGCAGCGACACCTGTGTTGCAATGCAGTGTGAACCAGTCAGACTTGCCCTGAGCCGGGAAGGTGACAGACGGTCACCGAAACGACGGCTGAATAAAAGACTTGGTACTCAGTACTAGCTATACTAGTAATCATGTCGATCGTGAGTGGCTTGCTGCCCACCGTCAGCTGCCTATGGAGCCTACATACGCTGCTAGTCGTGGCTGTGGCCGTCCTCGCTGCAGCGGCGTGGAAGAGACGCCGGTCATCAGCTAGCCTGCCGCCGGGACCCAGGGGACTGCCCCTGGTCGGCAACATGTTCAGCATGAGCAAAGTCAGTCTAACCTAGCCTCTACCAGGCTCATTTGCAGGCTGAATCAAGAGTAGAAATCGGCCTAAAAGGGGGATATACTAGTAATTGACCAGAGGAATTGGCTGACCAGAGATGGTCCAGGCAAACTGGACCCTCTATCAGTCTATGGCCGGCAAACTCCTCTGGCCAATTATATCCCCCGATTTCTACTATTCATTCAGCCTGTAAAGGAGTCTGGGGGAGACTAAGTCTATGCGAACTATGTCTATGTTTTTTTTACCTAAGTAAAGTGAAGGTTTAAGCAAGGACGTTCTTAAATTACCCGAAGTAACTTAATTTGGCTTGTACATAATTGTATTTAGAACAATAGGACTGTATTCCGAAGTGAGAAACTTATGCATACATGCATGTCGATTCATGAATCCTGCTTTGTGGGCACATGAATATTCATGATTTACAAACTCAGCCGTTTATTTACTGGTAACTTAAATTTTGTTGTCTTAAAACAAGGAGGTTAAAAAGAGATCTCTTTTTTAACCTCCTTGCTTAAAACAACATGAATCCACTCAGAAAACAAAGTCCAGAACAAAGTTGAACTAGCTACCCCGACAATACTCACTAAACCTTAGACGTGAGACTACAACATTTATGTCTTCGAAGAGAACTCTTCCATGTCTTTTATAGTGGTAGACATTTAGTTCCGTTCAAGGAGGTTTAAAAAGACTTTGGTTCCGTCAAGGAGGTTTAAAATTTGGTTCCGTTGATATATATTCGCAGATTCAGCTACGACATGCAAATATCATTGCCGTGGAAAGAGTATGTGTTTCCTGGCCACTAGGACATCCCAATATAGTGTTCTAAGAAGTACAGAGACTGTACTGTCGCCATATATTGTCTTTTAGAAAAAACTATTCTTCTTTTAACTTCCCAAAACCCACTAATTTTGGAAAAGGTGGGACATTACGTCTTCCATGGTCTAAAAAAGAGAAGTCAAACCCCTTAGACATAGTTTTAGACATAGCTATAGCTCTAAACTACCTTTTATCGTGTAAATTTTTGTTATTACCTCCGGGGGAGGAGACATCCTTCCGCGGAAGGGTTTTGTGAGAGATTTAGATTTTCATGTTCGCAGCTGTTTCTCGCGTTTGGGTGGACGGATTCTTTTGAGACTCGGTATATGTTTTGCTATTGGGCTGCGGATGATGCTACGTTTTTTTTTTTTTTTTATTGTATATGTGTTTTCGGGCGTGAAAATGTTGCCTTTTGGTGGCCCCAAAACACCCCTTTGAGCATGAAAGTGGTCGCGACCGTTGACCTTTGACGTGTTTAAGTTATTCTCGGTCTGGTCCACGTATATGACCCCTCACACAGAGGGGTGTCCGGTCTCGAAAAATTCTCTGTTAAAACCCTATATAAAAATATACAATAAAAAGCCCGGAGGTATAAAATCTCAGATTTTACTTGTTTTATACTACGTTTCATAATACTTACATTGTTCTCTTTTATGTTTGTAATCTGCAATCAGTCCCCCGGGCATGAATTTGCAATAAACTTCATTATATATAACGTTATCTTCCGACAGTTCCGTGGATATCTACTAGTTCGCAGATTCAGCAACGACATGCCGTTGAAACAGATGTCAATCTGAACAGTTTATGAATAGCAATGACACTGTGTGTGTTTCTTGGCCACTAGGATGTCCCAGTGGTTTTCCAAGAGTGGTCTAAGAAGTACGGGGACGTCTTCACGGTGTACACGTTCAGCCAGCCGAGGGTTGTCCTGAACGGTTTCGGCGCCATTCGCGAGGCCCTGGTCACGCATGCCGAGGTGTTCTCCAGCCGGCCTCCCGTCCCTGTCCTGGGGTCGCCGGACCAGAGCGCAAAAGGTATTTTAGAAACAGGTTATCTGTATCGATATAGCCGGTATAACCGCCCTTCGGCGTAACACACCAGCTTCGCAGGCACGCGGCGCGGTGGCAGCTAGCTATATCACACCGAACGACTTGTTACACTCAATCTTTGCACATTTGATTGCAAGAGTTGTTTAAAGCTTTCTAGTGATGATGCCCCAACTGTGCCTGGTGGCAACAAGTTCCAGTCTACGATAGTTCTGGGGAAATACGAGTTTTACAGGTTAACCACAGAACCCAAGGCACAGATAAGATCGATGGCCAGTCAGTCGACATAAAACAAAAGGGTCATTTCCATACATTCTCTACCGCGCCATTAATCTATGGAACACCCTGCCACCCAGTATCAAAACACTGACCAGTCTGCATCAATTCAAAAATGCCATCCACCGGTTGTACATGAGCTAAGTTGTATATATTATATTAAGTTAAGTCATTATCGTTTTGTTTAACCTGTATATAATTTGTGATGATTATGTATGTTTTTTTCTCTTTTATTTTGTTGTCAGTATGTTCATATGTTTATATGTTTTAAACCCTGGAAGACTAGTCGTCTTAGACTGAAGGGTATCGAAATAAACGAAACGAAAGACATTTGCGAGACGCGTGGACGCACACGTGAATAATTGTGCCCTTATCTTGCCATGACTATGCATATTAGGCTAATATGTATGGAAATGACCCTTTTCCTTTACGCAAATTATGATGAACTGTTTCTTCAATTTCTGGGAGCAAAAATATTTTGAGAAACATATATTTATCTTTATGAAATAAAGACTGAACTTTAACTTCCAACACTAGATATAGAATTGGGACTTACCCCAAATTTTCGGTTGACTCCATCAACCTTGTTCACGGAATGGCCCCGTCTACTCCTGGAACGTGACCGTAGTAGCGGGTCATACGTGCCAGATAACTTGTGTCGCCCCTCGTCTCTGTTCAGGATAGGTCTGTGAGCTCTTATGTACACTGTAGACTTTCATGCTAAGATATATTTATCTTATTTTTTTGTTTAAGGCTTGGTCTTTGAACCGTACACTCCTCGATTCAAAGAGCACAAGAAGTTCACCATGTCCGCGCTTCGAGACTTCGGGGTCGGCAAGAGGAGCATGGAAGGGAAGATTCTAGAAGAAGCACGGGCACTCAGCGATGTCATCTCAAAGAAAGGAGACCAGGCCTTCTGTATCTCCGAGCTGTTGAAGAACGCAGGCTGCAATGTCATCTCCTCCGTCGTCTTCGGCTCTCGCTACGAGTACGATGACCCAAAGGGGAAAGAGCTTCTACTGGTGGTCCAAAAAACGTTCGCTATCAAGCGCCATCATATGCTGCCCTTTATATTCCCGGCATCCAAAGTCATTCCTAGTTTGAGGAAGGCTTCCGAAGGGTTTCTCGACAACCAGCTGAAGCTGAGGGAACACATCCGAGAGGAGATAGTCAGACACAAGGAAACTTTTGACCCGAATGACGTCAGGGACTTTTTGGACGCGTTTCTCCTGGAAGCTAAACAGCGAGAGGGCGACGAGAATTCCACCTTCACTGAAGAGCAACTTGTTGAGGTAAGTAAATAGCCTCTACCAGGCTTCGGAAGGCGACTGGAAAGAGTAGAAATCGGCCAAATAGAGAGATAACATGCCAAGGGAATTGGTCCGCTGGAGAGTACATTTTACCCGAACTGTTCTCTCCAGCAGGCCAGCAACTCCCCCGGCATGCTATCTCTCTATTTGGCCGATTTCTACTCTTTCCAGCCGCCTACTCTTTCGTCAGAGCCTTTCTGCACAACTCTCTAGTGTCACTGACGAAAGGTAGTGGATACTACCTGCGTCTGACCGTTTACAAAATCATATCCAGTTGTTTTGAGTCACTGATGAGTTTTATATTGTTTCTTTTCCGAAGCTTGTCCGGCAGCTGTTCCTGGCAGGGACCGACACCACAGCGAACACCTTACACTGGGCCGTGCTGTTCATGGTGCTGCACCCGGACGTACAGCGGAAAGTACAGCGGGAGATAGACGGCGTGGTGGGGCCTGACCAGGAACCCTCCATGGAACATCGCAGCCAGGTAAGGCCACACCGACTTAATTTCATGGATGACATCCGCGCGCGCATTGATTTTCGCCTGTTCTAAAAAAAAAAAAGATCACGTCTACCGAGGCTCTGACCTGGCTCTAGGCCTGAGTAGTTAGCGACAATACGGAGCCGGTGGTAACTCTGGAGGACGGCATCCAGGCCACCGGAGCTCCACGACTCCGCAAAAAGCCAGCATGTGCCGGTTTGTCGTATACGTCGCTATGTACTAATCAAGTCGGTGCGGCCTAAAGTCCCTATCACACACCCACAAATATGGACTCCCGAACACTGGCCGAACTCCCTCCTGGCCATTGTTAGGGGTGGGTCGGGCTTACGTCGGCAGGTATTCAGCTACGGGGTACAGTTAACACGTAGTAATAGTTGTGTTATCTCCAAGCAGTGGGCGGACGATGGATACAGACGGCCAACATTAAGTCCCCCGCCAAACCGAATCTATTTGGTAGTAGTAGTGAGGCTTTCTTAAGGATAGCCTGGTATCCAGTCTGATCGTGGTCGGGGCCGAAAGAGCTCTGTCCCGCCCGCCTCACATAGGTTTCCCGGTGTGTATTTCACAAGAGATTAATTAGCCCTCCACGTGTTGGGGGGAAACCAAATCCCCAAGCATACTGTCTCTGATTAGCGTAACACTCCTACCGGGACGGTCTGTTGCACTGGGCGAGGGAAGCTATTGGAGCCCCCGAAGACACAACCTGCCTGAACACCCCAATACCCCCAATCACGATCAGACTGGATACCAGGCTATCTTAAGGACAGACAGTCTTGTAAGTGACCTTGTTGATGGTGAGTTGTGTCACTAATTATTTAAAAAGAAAAGTTGTAAAGCGAACGTATGACCGATGTTGACATGTTTAAGTGAAGTTTAAAAGTTTCCTTTTTTTTTGGCACAGATGCCCTACACTGAGGCCACCTTGAGTGAAGTAAGCAGGATGGCAGCAACCGCTCCAATGGCAACTAGGCACTTCACCACCGGTGACGTGTTCTTCAGAGGTTACCACATTCCCAAGGTAGGTCAGGATCACCCCCATCAAACTTCTTTCAAGCCGTACCCGGAAATTCAAGCCGTACCCGCTCAAAAATTCTGGCCGTACCCGGAAATTCGTGCCGTACCCGCGAAAATTTCAAGCCGTACCCTTTAATTCGTGCCGTACCCGCTCAAAAATTCTGGCCGTACCCGGTAATTCGTGCCGTACCCGCTCAAAAATTCTGGCCGTACCCGGAAATTTGTGCCGTACCCGCGAAAAGTTCAAGCCGTACCCGGTAATTCGTGCCGTACCCTGTACTTTTTCGCCTTTCGGCAGATAGGTGGCCAGGAATATTTACCAGAGCATAGGCTATATGAGGTTGTGTATCGTTGCCGTACAGGGTATTTAGGCACGACTTCCGAGTGACTACGCACCGGGGCTGAGCGATATCCGCCATTGGGTACGGCGACTAAAGTACAGGGTACGGCACGAATTACCGGGTACGGCTTGAAATTTTCGCGGGTACGGCGCGAATTTCCGGGTACGGCCAGAATTTTTGAGCGGGTACGGCTTGAAAGTAGTTTGATGGGGGTGAGGATGTATAACATTAGATAGTTGTTCTCAAATCTCTGTTTGCGTAACAAGAGTCTCTAATACTCAGTGTCTTACCAACCTGATGAAACTATTCACAGATCTTATCCTATGTTTCTCTCAGGCCACAGGGGTTGAGGTGAACCTCTGGTCGGTGCTGTATGACCCGCAGGTCTGGCCCGAGCCGCACAAGTTTGACCCGACCCGCTTTCTGGACCACTCCGGCAACTTCGCCAGGAGGGAGGAACTGATCGTGTTTTCTATGGGTGAGTAGTAGCCTCTACCAGGCTGCATCAATTGTTAGATATGGTTGTGCCTGTAATACAAACGGACGCGTCAACGATCCTTGCTACATGGGCATATACTTGTTCTTTTATTGGTGAAAACATTTTTTACATCCATATTGGGAGAGTTTGGAGCATTTCAGTAAAAAATGAGGCAAAATGCCATGGAGTGGTATATCAGCACCAAGGAGAGGGCATTATCCCGTGCGTTACCCCCTAGGAACCTCGTGCCTTTCGCGCTCGCTGGTCCCTCAAACAGTGGGAAGACCCCCCCCCCCAAGCAAAATCCTGGCTACGGGCATGTTGAAAGAAAGCGTACGGT